CAGATACTCCGCGTACTAAAGTTGTACTACAAAGTCGCCAGTTCTCATCTTCCAGCTCCCCAGATACTCCGCGCACTAAAGTTGTACTACAAAGTCGCCAGTTCTCATCTTGCAGCTCCCCAGATACTCCGCGTACTAAAGTTGTACTAGAAAGTCGCCAGTTCTCAGCTTCCAGCTCCACAGATTGCTCCGCGTACTTGAGTTGTACTACAAAGTCGCTAGTTCTCATCTTCCAGCTCGCCAGATACTCCGCGTACTAAAGTTGTACTACAAAGTCGCCAGTTCTCATCTTCCAGCTCCGCAGATACTCCGCGTACTAAAGTTGTACTACAAAGTCGCCAGTTCTCAGCTTCCAGCTCGCCAGCTCCCCGTACTACAGTGGTACTACAAAGTCGCCAGTGCTCAGCTTCCAGCTCCCCAGCTACTCCGCGTACTAAAGTTGTACTACAAAGTCGCCAGTTCTCAGCTTCCAGCTCCACAGCTTACTCCCGCATTTCGCGCGTTCGACACGCACGATCTCCGCAGAGGGTTGCGCGGTCATCTCACAGATCGCGCTCTCGCCTGCATTTCGCGCACTCGACACGCACGATCTCCGCAGAGGGTTGCGCGCGGACCGGACACATCGCACTCTCCCCTGCATTTCGCGCGCTCGACACGCACGATCTCCGCAGAGGGTTGCACTTTCGGTTGACGCTGTTCGTCCCACCCTCCGCCTTTAAGAGAGAATTTACAAAGTGGGGAAGTGTTTTTTCATTAGGACATCTCCCGTGCTAGTTCACTTGCCTACTCATTGCATGCTTGCATACTCATTGCATGCATACTCATCACTTGCATACTTACACTTGCATACTTCCACTTGCATACTTTGACAGCTTTCGCTCTTCCACTTACACAGGGCTACGTATAGCGTTCATGTTATCCTGCAAGTGTGGTGAAAGTGTCAATGTCTAGGTGTGTCTAAGTGTAAGTGTCGAAGTGTCAGTGTTCAAAGGATTTTCCGGAAGAACCCTTCGCAATGCTTTCGGGAAAAACATCCACTACGGCATGCCTCAGGACTTGTTCCAGCTCTGAGCCAGTGTTGGCACCAGCCTGCAATCAGCTCGCCAAGAGGTTACGCCAGGCTTTTCCACAGGAAGCTCGGCGCTACTGCTTTACGCCCACGAAGATGAGTCAACTCTAGTTCAATCTGTTCTGCAGTCGCTGGAGAGGATGGTATGGTGATACAAACTGGTCATGCGTTCACTGAGCAAGTCCATTTCTTCCTCAGGTCAGAGCAGTTGTCCTGCTGTTCTCCGTAGTCAAGGACGACGAGGATGAACATTGGCTGAGTAGTTCTGAAATAGTGATGTGTTTTGTGGGTACTCCAGTGGTGTTTAGCAGTATCAATAATCTGTTGAACCCTTTGTTTTCGCTGACGGGCACGACGTCTTGTCACCCATTGCCAGCTGACGAAGAGGCTCCTCAGCTGATGGGTAAAGCCACAAGGCAGCGCAGGGGCCCTTGGCATCTGCTGGGCCCAGGTGCCCAAGGGTTTCAGACAAGTGGGTCCAGCCCTCGGTTTGTTGTTCCCAGTAATGTTGAAGAGTGGTGAGCCCATGATCTTTTTTGGGAGCGTGGAACCTTCTGCATGGAAAACCACCCACCACAGGAATATGATCCCGTTGAAAGCTCAATTCTTGGGGAAGTTCAGGAACATAGACCATCTGCTTGGCACCAGTATCACCATGCCGTTGTTGAACCAGCGAGAAGTCAATACAAGATTGCGCATTTCAGGGTCCAAAGTAGGTAGCTCCCAATTCCGCAGTCACGGTATTCAGGGCAGTCATAGAAAACACTCGAAGAAGGTGTTGAAGTTCATGTCGGTCCGCATGGTTGGTTTGCCACCCTGTGTGGCAAAGTCTGATAATCTAACGCTTCCTGCTTGATGACGCGGGCTGGTGTTGAAATCTCCTCCAACGATCCAGGAGTTTCTACGTGGAAGCCCAGTCAAGGTTTTGTGATGAGTGTGCCAGAAGGTTTTCCTCTCATCCATGTTGACACGATCAGAGTTGTGGATGGGGTATTGGTAGAGGTTCACCGAGTCGATGTTCATCGAAGGTTTGTGAAGACGAACATGGAGGATCCTACTGTCCAGGGGGACTGTCCAGTCCACATCGCAGAAGCTGCGTTTGATGGCGATGAGGATGCCACCTCGGTGTCCAGCAGCTCCTGCGTGAACAAAAGCGTAGTCATTGTCTGTCCACTCACCACAGTGCCGTGAAGGAGCACGCAGTCTTTGAATTGGTCATTGAGCCATGCCCTGAACATGTACCACTTGACCACATTCAACTGCCCGATGTTCCATGACAACACTGCAAGGCGACTCTGTCTAAACTTTGATGGGAGCATGCGGTTGCGATGTGGGCTCTGTGAAGAGCCGGGAGTGTCAACTTTCCTCTTGGTTCGGTTCCAAATCCGGGGTAAATTTGCTTTCCATCAACAAGCTGCCCAGCATCACCGGCATCATCTCTGCGAGTGTTGCCCCAAACCAGCTGGAAAGGTGCCACCGGGAGCCATGGAGCTTATCTGCAAGGTTTGCACGGTAGGCTCCTGTCGAGAGATGGGGGCGACCCCAAGTTGGCTGGCTGTCCGAACCTGTCCTCTGCAGAAGGTCACGCCATGGAATGTAGCGCGCTTCAGAGCTCTGATGTATGCTTTCTTGCGGTGTTCAGGATCTGTTCGGAACCCTCGGGCTGCCAAGGAAGGGCATGGGCATCGGTGTTGTATGGAAAAAGTGGCGTGTTCCAAGCACACCACAAAAGAAGACCCAAATAGGTGAGCCAGCCCTTCCAAGTCCGGGGTTTGGGGCCCGGATGAGTGTTCATGTAAGGAAAGTAAGAGATCAGCTGCTCCACTTTCAAAACTATGTGAGGATCTGGTAGAGCTGTGGATGTAAATGAAATACTCTCGTCCCCTCACCCACTAAGCGCACCAGCGCCGGACGCCCTTCGTGACGCCCAGAAGCTCGAGCGCAAGATCAGCTCCAAGGAGAAGTGCAGCCACAGCACAGGAGCGGATGACCAGGGACAACTCGATCACGGCGCCATAGTGTGTGGAGACAACCCGTTTGAACACTCGCAGCCCTTATCATCATCATCATCAGCATCATCATCATCACCATCATCATCATCGTTTCGATCCATGAAGGGAGTCAAAGGCACCTGACGCTCGAAGCTTTTCTGACGCTGGAGGTCCGACAACTGGATATCCCATTGATCACCATCCTCCACTGCAATGGGCGCCGTCGCCTTCCCTGGCAGAAGCGCCAAGTGCTGCCGTGCATACAGGTAAGCTAGGCAGAGAGGCACCACCACTCCGTAAAAGACTATGCTACTGTATCCAATTGCATCCAGGTACGTCATGGAGGAATCATGGCAAAGCAAATGAGGCACAGATTTACGAAAGGCAAACCTGGCCGAATGGCATCAAACATCAATTTATCGATTTCTCACACATCCCTTTTCCAATGAATGTTGGGTGCATCGTTGCTACGTTGCTACACCTTCAGTCTAAACCAGCACAAGTGTGCTGAATTGTGAGGATAAGGAATTTGTCTCATCTTGTCTTCAAACAATTAAAACATCACTTGGTCCAGGCAACTCTGGAGGAAGACTTCCTTTCTCGCCATCAACCTCCTGACAGCGAAGCAGCTTTGAAGCAGCCGAAGCTCCGCCCACATAGAAAAGTGTGAGAGCCTGCAAATCGCTGCGGACAAATCAACCCATCTTTGGCAAACACTTTATGTCCCACGTGCCAAGGTGCAGTCACTTATGTTACAGGATTCGTTCTGGTCTCAAGCATGTCCGAAAATCATTGAGGTTCGTTTTCGCATGTTTTTAATCCATCGTTCCCCCCCTCAAGACTCTAATGCCTTTCTCCCTCCTGTGTTGAAAGAAACAACAACGACCGACCTCCTGAACGCATGCAGGGACTGGCAACAACTATAGGAATACATTTCGGGCAGGAGCTTGGTGAGGGGGAGAGGTTTGCAATATCTGAGTGTAATTTGTGTTTGAATTTATTGAATGAATCTTTATCAATGCAAATAGTCCCTGACTTCAACAAAAGGAGACCCGGTTGCATTGCTTGTTTGAGAGGTTTGATCGTTGGTGAAAAGGAGTTCCATTGATCACTGACTCAACCTGACAGGCGAACAAACCAAATTCAAACGACATCTCAAACGCATTCCTTCCCATCATTTCACACGGCCTTCAATGCAGAAGCGACGCCAAATCCATGGCAGCAAATCTCCATGGCCAAGCAGCACAGGAGCACTGCAATGGGAGCGACTGGAGCGGCCAAGGCAGAAGCTAGGCGAACGGCGGCACCGTCGTTCAAGGCGCACTGCAGATTCACAGCACCCTCCAGGCTGTCGACCGAGAGTTGCGATGCCTTCCAGGCCACCGCTGTGTCGCTGCGTCAACAACTCAAACGGTATTGATGCGGGATTACATATCAACAACCCCAGGATCTGTCCCGGCGCCATGCTGCTTTGTTGAAGAAATCATGCCTACAAGCCAGCGACAATTGCCTTAGCAAGTCGCAATGGTCGCGATACCCCCAAGAAAACAACCTGAAGAGGCTTTGACACTGCTTACTTCAGGCATCTATCGGATACATCCTGGCCCCTTGTTGCTGCTATGTAACTGAAGTAAATCATGTCCAGTAGCCAGCAAGTAGCACCTCAGCAATTCTAGATCAGCATCTAAAACTATTTCCAATCCGGCCTCGATGAAAGGAATTTCCCAGGAGTCCGATGACCCATGGCCACCTTTGCTCTTCAAGGCTGCCAGCACCGCCCATAGCTGGCAAGTTTGGAGAAGCATTGGTGCCACTTGTTTCATTTGATCCTTGAAGGCACCGACGGCAGAGAATGGAGCAGCTTCTGATGGCATCTCGGCAGTCGAGTTCGCTCCCCAAAAGCGCGACCACACGTAAGTCAAAACCATCACTGCAAGCAGCCCAATGCCACCTGCAACCGCAGCCATGCTCCAAATCTGCTGGGTAAAGTCGCCTGTGGGGCATGGTTCACAGATGCCTTTGGTCAAGTAATGCCTGGCTTCGCAATCGGAACAAAGCACTCCACCATAACCACTGGCACAACCAAAGTGAGTGGAACCATTGCTGTCTGTGCTGTTGCACCGGGTGTCCCACGGTGGCAGGCACCGCAGGGCTGCAGTGTCATTGTTCCTGAGGCGTGCAAAGCCGATCTCAGGTGGAGCTGATGTCAGTAACATGCCTGACACTGGGCACCTGAGGTGTGTATCGTGGCAGGGGGCACAGGTCTCGGTCTCATTGCCGGCGCCTCGCAGATTTGTCAGACCATGCTCTGCGTGACATTGGCAGGCTGGAGATTGGTCGGGTGAGAACTTGCCTCCAGAAGTGCACTTGCAAGTGGCTTCCCCTTCTCCTGCAATGGTGCCCTCGGGGCAAGGTGTGCACTTGCTGCCGTTGCCTTCGGAGAAAGTGTTGGGGCCACATTTGCGACAGTGGGCCCCTGTCCCTTCAAAGCCTGCCGAGCATCTGCAAAGTTCCTGCGGGAGAAACTTCTCTGGCGAGACTTGCAGCGATGTGGACAGGATAGAGTGGCAACGGTATCCACCTTCCGTGCTCATGGACGACACCTGCTCTGTCTTCACAATGAAGCCCTCTCTCAACAGCTCTGCCGCCTCCTGGATGCTTAACAACCAAGAGACCCCTTGAAGCACAACTGTTACGACTTGGGACATCGGGGTAACTGTGTAAGTGATCACAGTAATTGCATCTAACTGCTACATAGTACTACTTTGTTGCACGACAAAGCAGTAGTGAACAGAACTATCCACTTTGAGGCGACGAGTTTCCGTGGTGTTCGACAAGGCCACATTCTGCAAGTCCAGGAAAGTTCCGGTTGCCAAAGCCTCTTTCAAAACACCATCTGCAAAGTTCAGAGCCGAATTCTCTGCCAGGATGAGGACCTGCAGAGATGCAGGGATGCCCTTGATCTCCGTGATGTTGTTGGTGGCGAGGTTCAGAACCTTCAAACTCTTGCCCAGAAGTGGCCTCCACTTCGAAAAGAGCACTCCATCCACTACTACATCCTCAGGCCTCAGATTTGTCAGGGTGCCGCTGAGTCTGCAGCCGGCAGCTTCGATTGTGGCCAAGGCTGGAGAGCCGCAGAGGGGCTGCAGCAGCTCACTGACATCACCATTAAGGGGACATCCGTTCAACTGCAAAAGGTTCAGCTGTGGAAGAATGGCACGGGCTGAAAATTGGGCGTGCAAAGGGGTCCAAACTGAGGACTGAAGCTGGACCAACTCACCAGGCCATGGAAGGAATTCCACTTGGCTGCCAGACAACTTCAGGGATCGCAGCTTTGACCAACGACCTCGCCACTCAGAGCCGAGCCGTCCTGTAACCTGCGTCTGCTCGAGGTTGATGTCAGTGACATGGTTCCAAGGAAGCAGTGCTGTCAAGTCACCTGCCACAGATGTGTTCCTGAGGTCGAGATTGTTCACCTGCGAGAGTCCTTGCAGACTCACTAGGTCACCTACAACGTCGGTGTTGTCGAGGTAGAGCCCCTGCAGCTGGGTGAGGCGTTGCATACTCGATAAGTCACCTGCCACCTTGGTGTTGTAGAGGCTGAGCGACTGCAAAAGGGTGAGTCCTTGCAGACTAGCCAAGTCACCCGCTACGTTATTGTCGTGAAGGAAGAGCTCCAACAACTTGGTGAGTCGTTGCAGGCTCGCCAAGTCACCCGCTACGTTGGTGTTGTGGAGGTCGAGCTGCCCCAGCTTGGTGAGTCCTTGCAGACTTGCCAGGTCACCTGAAACATGGGTGTTGGGGAGGTGGAGACTCCACAACTGGGTGAGTCGTTGCAGGCTTGCCAGGTCACCTGCGATGTGGGTGTTCCCGAGGTTGAGCAGCCACAGCTGGGTGAGACTTTGCAAACTCGCAAGCTCACCTGCGCAGTTTGTCTTGAGCAGGGAAAGCAGCTCCAGCTGGGTGAGGTTTTGTAGGCTTGCCAGGTCACCTCCAACATTGGTGTTGTAGAGGTAGAGCTTCTGCAGCTTGCTGAGACCTTTCAGATGCCTGACATCACCTGCGACCTCGGTGTCGCCAAGGTTGAGTTCGCACAGGGCTTTGAGCTTTCCGATCTCGTGGTCCAACGTGCCATTGATGGCCTTGTGTCCGCTCAAGCGGATCGCTTTCACATCGCATCCACTCCTGGGTATCAGTTCACATGGCAGACTTGTGCAAGAACGACTTTTCTATACAGTGAAACTGGTGTGCAGAAGTCTGCGCAGAGGTGCAGTGATGTGCTCTTCCAAATGGTTTGATGATGTTCGTTGACCAAAGTTTCCTTGGGGGACTCGAAATTCCAGTTGCAGGGCTGCCGAGTTATCAACATCAACCCGAAGGCCAAACCCATCCCAAGACCCCAAGCATCCCCAAGCCATCTCTGCGGGGAAACACCGCTGTCGAACCCAACTTTTGGTCACCGGTTGAACCGAAACCTGTCCCGCTTTCCACGGCCATGGCTAGACAAGGCTCCACTTGACTCTTGTTAGACGCGGAGTGGGATTCTTGATGCCTAATTTTGCCAAGACAGAGCGCAATGCCGGCCACTGTGGGCAACGCTCCTTTCCTTGGACACGGATTCCTTGGAGACGGATTCGGATGGCATTTGATATGCCATGAGAAAAAGGAGGTTGTGGCCGTGCAAAGGACCGAAGATCGTTGGTACCTGACCAGCGAGTGGCTCAATGTCAGATGCCAGATTTGTTTGGGAGGGTCTGGCACCACCACTACTTGGATATAAGTGAGTCATCTGATACTTGAACTCTTTTCAGAATCAACAAACATGTGTCTCGGAGCCTGTCTGTGGGTACTGCCCACCGATGTTTTCCAACGGAACTAGGCCCCAAGGGTGCCCAAAGCAATACCAACACAGCCAAAGTCACCTGCGGACACATCTTGATCGCGCTCCAGCGCGCTTTCGGAGATCCTGGGTCGTTCCCCCGCCACTTCGATGAATAAGATGACCGTCACCAACTTCAGGACATGGTAAACGTGAAGCATTTGCGTTTCACAGAGATGGATTGGTCATGATGCTTCTTGTGTTTTAGAGCATCACAAGCCTTGAACCACAAATTCCATTGCGCTGACCTGCTGGACACGAAAGACAGCGTTCCGCGTCACGGTGTTGAATGTCACAGGGTTCAGTTTCACACGCATTGCACGTCCGACTGCGACTGCTCACAAATAAGTTCTAGTAGCTGGCTGAGTTTCCCTTCACTAGCAAACAGGAATGGGGAAAAACGCTTGGGATGTTTTACATCCATGTCTTGCACGAAGCATATCTTCGATATCGTCGATATCTATGGAAACGCACCTAGCATGAAAGCCCTGCTGCGATTGTCTGAGTTTCCGACCGCACTCAACGCCACCGAAGCACTCTTGCGGCTGCAGCGTCATCTGGGCAGGGGGTTTCCCTAAGTTTGAAAAACAAATCATCTGGCTTTAGCAGGCAATTCGATGACTCGTTTGTACGTACTACATGTGTATGTAAAAATTTGTGTCTGTGCGTGCATCAAGTGCATAAGCCATTTGGTGTGGTGACTACCAGACAGAACGCGAGTAGCGATGCCAGATAAAGTACGCAAGTATGGTAGATAGAATGCCAGACAATTTGCCAAATAGAACTCAGAATATATGCCAGATAGAATGCCAGGATATCTTTGGTGGCAGAACCATTGTTGGAATACATGTCAGAACACAAGCCAGGACTGAAGTTGGTCCATATGTCATAGCACATGTCAGACAGAAAAAATGTCAGAACACACGCCAATAAAGATGTCAGAACACGATCCAGAACGTTTCCCAGCCTTTGTGATAGATGATGTGTCAGAGCACGCACCAGATTTGGTGCCAGAACAAGCGTCAGAACATCGTGTCAATCGTCTTTCAGGGTGGGGATCACTCGAAGTAATTAAGAATCTTTCTCCTGCGCTACTGAGCCAGCGCTCTCAGAAAACTGATTCAACTTAATGAAATGGCTATGGCGTGCCTGGTGGATATGCTCTTGTCAGTCCATAAAGGGTAAAAAGCAATGGGACATGAGGAGCACACGTGGTTGCATTGGTCCGTTTTCACTCTTTGGACCACATTGCGAGTCATATGAATCACTGATATTATTGCATGGAAAATACATCAAACAGCGATTGATTGAGCCAGAACTCGAATGGACACAAAACCATGCATCGGAGACAAATTGCACAAAGACAATGACCTTGAATTGAAACAGTGAATGCACAAAATTGGGCGAGCACAAAATGGGCGAGAGTGGCATGCCCATCTGCATGTTGAAAACAACTTGATGGTCGCAATGCAAATAGTTCAATCAAACTCAGCAGTCATTACGCCAAAGAAAATGTGCTGACCATAGAATCCAACTTTCCGAGCATTAGAATCACATTTCTGCAGGTCAATGCAGCTCTTGCGGCTCTTTTGTCACGAAATTTGGCGAGGAGATATGGGTGGGTCGGTTTCAACCTGGCGTGTCGAGTCAAACACGTCCAACCGGTTGTCGAAGCGGTCGTCGAATCGGCCTCACTGATGTCTCCTTCCTCAACTCCTTCTTCCTGGAGTGAAGCCATGGCCTCCAACCTACGTAATAGCGATCCAACCTAATTAAAGGCAAATTTCAGAAACCAAAGACTTTGCAACACACAAATAGTGAGACTCCTCCACTTCTGACTCCTCCGTAGAGACCTGGTGCTCCATTCAGTGTCACACGGTGTCAGTTCAGTTCTCCCTTCAAACGCCTCGCTGGGTGTGCGATTTGGATCTTCTTCGTGTGCTTGAGCCTGCAAGACCAATACATTCAAGAAGGCTTCTTGGTTGGTACTTGGAAGGCACGATCAGGCTTTGCAGAATTTCTCACCAGTCCCGATGACCTGCTGCACATGCTCGCCAAAGCTCGCCAGAAACGCTGGGATCACTTCCTGCGCTTGAAGAAGGCGCATGCAGCACGGATGGATATCCACATGTGATTCATTAGTGGCGAAGAAACCAACGCCCCACACTTTCAGATCCACATGACTTCACTATTTCGCTGCTTTCGATCCCATCCTGATATTCAAGAACCAAGCAATTCTCAGGCTCAAGCTTTAAGATTTCGCATCCAATCCTTGGGGAAATGAAACAAACAAATTAGATTTCTCTCGCGCGGACTCTTTATAAAGACTCTGGAAGACTCTCGAACTCTCAGAGACCCACCGCAGGGCTTCTTCATAACCTCACGACAAACGCGGCGAATCACCCTGAAACGCCCGGAATTTCGAGCTCCGGGGCCTTCCTTGGTGCGTAAACGTACCTGGCACGTTTAAGTCCGACACCGAAGCAACAGAACTGACTGTCTAAAGAGCACCTGCACCAAGAACTCTGCGCAAAGGACGTCTGCCTGAGAGAGAGTTGTCATGGCGCTCCCAGTTCTCTTCTCCCAAACACGACAAGTTCACATGCCTCTGCAGGTTCTGCAGTTTCCGCCGGCGGTGGCGGTGGCGGTGGCGGTGGCGGCGGCGGGGGTGGTACGCCTCAGGACAGGAACGCTCACAGGCTTGAAAGCCGGAGGCCTTCATCGATGCCCAGGACTTGCACTACCACCATTTCTGAAAAGATAGGCGCATTGAGCAAGGTCAATGCTGGCAACAGCTTGGGAAGGCTTGAACGAACTTGAACACGATCTGACATGTTACTGAATCGAATGTAAGCAACAAAAAGGCCAACACCTCAATCAACTTCAGGCTTCAAGTTCGCCCATTGGACTGAAAAAGTTCTGCTCCGCCGGCTGGTTGCTGTGTCGCTCTGGAGCAGGATAAGTATTCAGGATACTCATTGCTCTTGTAAAGCATCTGAAATCACCGGTTTGCCGGCCACAGGGAAATACCTGACGGCCACAGCGAACTTCAAACACCATCACCGCTCCATGGGAAAACGGTGGAAATACCAGTCCGCAACAAGCGACAAGAAATGCACCTGTTTCTATCGCTACTAGTAAGGCACTTGTTTCTAGTAGCGTCCTTGCTACTACTAGTAAGGCACTTGCTACTAGTAGCGATGCACTTGTTCCTAGTAGCGAACAAGTGCCTTACTCCAGAAATGAGTTTTCAATCGTAGGATCTGCAAATCCATTGATTCGACCCAGTTCTAGATCCCACTTTTGACAGCCTGGCTTCCTCTCCATCGGCGAACTTGTAAGCAAACGCACCACCTGAGAACTCAGCTTGTGAGCAAAACCAGCCGGACATGTTTCGGCCACATCGGACGGTCGCCCGACCAGAATTCGCGACGGAGACCTTGATGTCCCTTCCGCATGTTTTTACACCACATGTTTTTCGAACAAACGCGCGACGCGGTGCTACCCGGTGGCTACCCGGTTGCTACCCATGAAGGTGCTCGTCGAAACTCCGACCGACTTGTACGGGAGAACTCGATTGGTCAGGTCTGAGACACTGGGACAGTGCAAGCCACAGCTCGAAAACTCCTGGTCAAAGCATATCTGCCTCTTGAAGGTCTTCGCACACCGAATTCGTGAGAATCACAGTGTCTTGGTGCCGAATTGAAAAGAAACAGGAGGCCAGTCCGGTCAAAAGACTATTCCGGACTAGGTGTGAATGAGTTGCGATGAAACACCAAGAAAGACAATAGGCTGGTTGCTGACCGTCGAAGATTGTGAGATGAGGTGAAATCGTCAAGGCTATATCTGTCGCAAACGCCGTGATACCATGGCAACCGTTCTTTTCTTTTTGTCCGGCTCTAACTTGAGAAGCGAATCCCGCTCTGGTTGTGACAAGTTTGAACGTAACAGCGCTGCTACTTACGCCAACACTCCAATCAACACCCTAAAACTAAAGTGAAAACAAATGAGTGAACAAAGTAAGGCTTGATTATGGTACCACATGCCAAGTGAGCTGAAGACACACATCAAAGAAAAGCTAAAGTGCAACCGAAAGAAGGTGAAGCACTGTGAGATTTCAGCACGAGAGAAGTTGAAGTGAGAAGGAGGCGAAGGAGCCATGCGACTGACATCGGGATGGCCTCCAACCTACTAGCGTCATTGTTACTAGTGGCTTCTTGCCCCTAGTAGTACGGCCAGGAGCCCCTAGTAGCGTCCTTGCTCCTAGTAGCGATGCCAGGAGCCCCTAGTAGCTTTTTGTTCCTAATATCGATGGCCTCCAACCTTACACCGTCTTCTGAATCATCCCTAGTCTGTCCAAACTTACCCATTACGCATCTGAAGATGAAGTGGCTCTGGTCGTGCACTGCGCGCAAGCGGAGCGGATCCCCGTGGTCCTTGGGTCTCAGCCAAGCGAAGTGCGTGGCGCCCTTCCGGAGCAACGCCTCTAAGGTCACCTCCTGAAAGCGGCCTCGCCAGGCTCTGTTATTCATAGCGAACATTGCTCCGTGCCAGGAGCTAGCGCCCTTGCTCCTAGTAGAAATGCCCTTTGTTACTACATCTTGGATGCTCATCACATCTGTAGCTACACTGCCCCCAGATCGAGGCTCCCGCCTTGCCGAGACAAGGCCTCCGAGACCTCTTCCGGCAGCGGTGAAGAGCCACCGAAGAGCAGCCCGGTGCCCACGCTCGTTGGACCTGAAGAGAGACCGTCGTGAGACGGTCTGTCTTCGCCCCAAACCCGGCCCCATCCCGAGCTCCTTTCTTCTTTTCCAAGCGTCTGATGGAGGTGGTTCCAACAACATTACAGTCCTTGTCGAAGTAAATGTATCCTGAGATCGACAAAGCAAACATGGTGGTCTATGTCTTCATACGTCTTCATTATATGTATAGTAAGAAGAAGCTACTAGGAACAAGGTGCTTCATATGTCTTCCAAAATCCTCTTTTCATCCAAAGGTCCGCCGTATTCCAAGAACGCTCGCTCAGGGCCACTTAGTGGCCAAAGCTCTGGATGCTTCGATTTGTCAACCTCGCTGCGCTGAGAGTGCTTCTAACCGGCACTTTCTATACAATTCTCATCAAGGCAAAGTTTCTCCTTGGCAACGGTCTTTCTTTCGTTTTGCCCTTTTGTACTTCATTGAGACCTTTAAGCTTTTCTATTTTCCTTCTGTTCTTTCTTCTTTCCTTGGTGATTCAAACGTTTACTCAGAATTCCACCAGCTACTCCTGCAATGCCTTCGAAAACCACTCAGGACGATGCAGGATACGCCCAGGCAAAATATGCAGCACTCTTGGGAATACCTCCAAGGAACACCCAAGAGGACAGACATCTCAAGACATTGCTATTGAGGTGGAGGCTATCGCTCTTAGGTTAGACATTAAATATTAGGATGAAGGTCATTGCTAGTTGGTTGGAGGCCATCGCTAGTGGGTTGGAGGCCATAACTAGTAGGTTGGAGGCCAGTGCTCTTAGGTTGAAGGTCATTGCTACCTGTAGGTTG